TGGGAAAACTAATTAGCATGATAGCAAATATTTCAGAGAATATAAAAGAGCTTGTTATTCCCTCCTTTCATGTAGCCACAAGTTGAGCTATTAGAAAGCTGACTCATCCCACTCATGGATGAATGAAGCAGAGAAAGGCTTGACTGTCCAATTGGTCAAAGTGTCCCCAAGGCAGAAGTAATGGCCAAGTCAAATAGGGGTTCATCCTTAAGAGCAATAATACTCAAATTTCCCCATGTCCTAGATTTGCCCCCTCATTCATTGAATCTAGATCCACATGTCTCGTGTGTAAGTCCACTTCAACATCATATCTTGGTGAGTTTATAAAAGCATGTTGAGGCCGCCTTCTAGATGGATGATGCATTACTCCAAAGAGTGAGAAAAACATAGGGAGACTATCATGCCTGATTTTTTTTTTTGTTTTTTGTTCTTGAAGTAGTTTATGAAACCTACCTACAAACAAAAAGTAAAAGAAAAATAAACAAAGTCAAAATAATGTTAGAAGTCATCCCATAATTTTGCATGATTTAGTGCTTCAACAATTGCTATATGGATTCACACATTGTCGATTTCCAATCCTTAAGGAGCCTCGGATGAAGAACGCCTTGAGATTTCCATAGACTTCGAGGGCTATAGAAAAGACACTTACAAGCAGTTCAACATGCATTACAAAGCTGGTCATTCATTACAAAGTAAAAGCCTAGTGCATCACACTAAGTACATCAACATGGTAGCATTCAAGTCCCTAGTAAAATCTGATTCCTAGATCTTTCAAAGTACAATTGTCTAATGAGGAGTAACATTCTTTTCCTTGATGAATCCCTTGATTGTTAAAGCAACATGAAGTGTGATGTGCTTGAGCTTTTGATCTTCCAGGTTGCTCTTGGTTCTTATCCTTCTAGGCTTACCCCTTGGATTTGGCAATTGTGAATGATAGGAGAGAAACGCTTGCACTTGGAGATTTCCTCAATCCTTTGTTGGTCAAAACTTTCTCCATAGATGAATATTTCAAAAGTGTCTTGATTGACGAAGAATCGCACTTGACCATGTATGAATCCATATTTCAATTGTTGAAGGCAGAGAATCAAACAAGATTATGGGAATGCAAGAAAAGAAATAAACATGGATGCCAAACAATGGATAAAGGATGAAGGAAGGTAAATATGCTCTAAAGTGATAATGTGTGTGAAGATGTATCCTAAAGCATGCATTTTTGGGAATGCAAGAAAAGAAATAAATATGAATGGGAAATGAGTGATAAAGGATGCAAGAATATAAATACGCTGACAAGTGGTAATGTCTGTGAAATTGTATCCTAAAACATGAATTTTCCTTCCTTAAGTATGCCAAGCAAATTTCAAAAGAGAAGCTGGCGATTCACTATTGCAACCCATTAAATTGGCATTCATAGGAAATATCATTCCTTGAAAAGAAAGCAAATACCTTGAAGCTTGAAGAAAAGGTGAATGGTGTGATACTTGGAGAAAATGGATGATGTGATGCTCCAAAATCATGTGCTCAAATTATTTTGATGTTTAAAAGATGGACTTTTCATGAATTTATCTTGGAAGAACCTCTTTTTCTTTTTTTTCTTTTTTTCTTTTTTTTTTTTCAAAAATGTGAAATGCTTTGGATTTAGTTGAATAAGGCCCACAAGTTTGAAACATGCAACAAAATGCAAGATGGTGAGAACTTCTTCGAATGATAGCTTGTACATTTTTTTTTTGGAAAATCATGACTTAAAGGACTTGATTGAAGAACAAGAAAATATGAGGATCAAATTTGATTTTATTCTAAACATGAAATGAGCATGAAATGAATGTAAATTTGACATGGGATGGAAGATGTGATGTAATGAACATTGATGTAATTTTACTCTTTTTTTTTTTTTTTTGCAATTTTTTTTTTGTGAAACATGAGATGAAAAATGAAATTTAAAATGAACAAAATGGAAAATGTCACATAAGATGAACATGAAAATATATTTTGCAATGCATGAGATGGAAGATGCGATACAATGGACATATGACATGAAATTTTCAAGACATATGGAAGATTTAATGTGAAATGAGTGGGATGGATATATGACATGTGAAATGAATGGGATGGAAGATTTTTCTTTTTTCCTTTTCTTTTTTTTTTAAAAATTTTTATGCATGGGGTTGAAAGTGAAGATACCAAGTGCATGGAATGCTCCTTACCTCAAGAATGATGTCTAAATGCAAAAGATGAATAACTAATCATACCTCGAATGTAAATGAAAACCTGTCATATGAAGAGACAAAGTTAGTGAAGTAAAATGCCCCCCTTTGTGTCTTAGACACGGGATTCCTAACCTCACGGGTGGGATGCTAAGGGAAACATGTTTTAGGATTGGTATCTCTCTAAGGCCACTGCATGTTTTCCTAAAGGGCATTAGGCCTTCTCAACCATTTATCCTTTCGGAATCAACGGGAGATATTTCCAAAAGCTAATACACAGAATGATATTACATCATCAAGTGTCGTATTAACCAATGGAAATAACCTAACGGGAACCAATCTTACTCCTCAAAGCGGGAAGAATTGCTCTTCCAAGCCAGATTCATAAGGATTCCAGACTAGAGGTCGAGTTCACCTCCGACGCGGACCTAATGCAAAATGAGGGTGAGTGTGTGCAAAGGGGCATGACACTTCAATAACCTGCATAATGGCAACCACAAAAAACAGCAACATATATCCCACGATAAGCAAATAAAGCATATAAAACACTCAACAGATATAGTATTCACAAACACACCTACTTACACAACAGGAAGGGACTCACCTACTACTCCCATGCCAAATGCAAAAGGTTAGTAACACAAAGCAACCAACACTTATCATGCAAAAAAGATGTAAATAATCGCACAAGAGGGAAGAGACTTACTGAGTACTCCATAGCCAAGTGCAAAAGGTGAGTATATCCACATACAAGCAAATAGGCATGCAAGCATGATGCATGATGAATAAGCATATAATATCAATGATGGATGAGCATGTGAGATGATATGATGCATGAACAGGTGAGCAAGGGATGATGCATGTCATGATATGACAAGATAATCACTCAAAGACAAAAAATGATCAAAGCAACCACTAAAACAATGAGCAAACACGCAATAAGCAACCAACAAGAAGCAACATGCAACAAGCACATGCAACAAGCACAAAGATCAACAAAGACTCAACAAACAAAGAAAATCAAAAGTTGAAAATTCTCCCAAAGTTAAAGTATTAGCTCAACCCTCATGAACCTAGAATATGGAAACCAGAGATTCTAGGTTATTTTTCCCAGTGGAGTCGCCAATTTGTTGACGACCACTTAAGATTTTTTCAAAATAACTGAAAAAAATCAAGTGTGAAAATATAAAAAAGAGGGAGTTGCCACTCGTCCAAATTATAAGGTGGGACAAGTCACCTAAAATGGGTCTGCGCAGAGATCGGAGTTCGGGGATTCGGTTAGGAGTGAGGAAGGGCATACGCGCACCTCACAATCCTCCGTTTAAACACGGTTGCATACTTTAACATTGGGGTTTTTGATTCAACTTATTTATTATGTTTATATTTGAGTCTTAATAGGCAAGCTTAAAAAAGAGATAAACCAAATTGCAACACTTTTAACATTTTGGACTAAAATGGACTAAATCAAAGACATGCATGCACACTAACATAAACAAGAAGTTAAGGGACTAACTTGATTAAATTCACAAACATAGAGGACTGATTTGAAAAAGAGTTGACCCATGGACTAAATTGTTTAATCTTGAAAGTTCTGGGTAAAATTGAAACAAGGAAAGATAATTTTTGCCTTTTAGCAAGATTAAAGGAAATTAAGGACTTAAATTAATTAACTAAGATAATTGATTTAATTAAATGATTAATTTATTATTAATTAAAATTA